GGGACAGGGACAGGCAGCAGCTCTGAGATGTCCAGGGGACTCAAGGGGACTTTGCAGGACTGATTCAGGCAGGGAGCAGAGCAAACAGGGCTGGCAGGAAGGGAGGGGGGTGCAGCCCTCACCCCCACAGCAGCCCAAAGCCTGAGGGGGACACACAAGGCATCGGGGGGACCTGTCCTGGGGACACAGGGGGACGCTCTGGCAGCTGCAAACACCCAAACCCAGAGGCAACGAGCGACTTGGAGCATCCCGTGGGTGAGGATGGAGATGGAGGCTCCACTTGCCACCCAGACCCAGCCACCTCCTCACCCTTGAGGTCCGTCAGCGTTTCCCCCAGCTGCTTGAGCACCACCGCCTTCTCCTCCAGCTCCTGCACAGGGATCAGCCGGTGGTTGTGGGCCAGGTCCTTCTGGATCTTCTCCACCGACTTCTCCAGGTCACTGTGGGCACAGAGGGCAGAGCAGGGGGGTCATTGCTGCTCGGGGACACTGGTGACCCCAAGGGGTGGCCAGTTCAGGAGAAGACCCCTCCATGCTGGGCGTGTGGTCAAGGATGTGACCCGGCACCATAGATCAGAGCTGCTGATTTACACCCATGGAGGACCTGGCCCATGGAGGTCAGGGTGAAAGGACCCCCTCCCCAGTGTCATGCCCAGTCCCACCACCAGCCCCGTCTCACTTGAGCTGCTGGGTGATGAGCTCCTCCTCGTTGAGGTACCGGAGCCGTTCCTCCTCCACCAAGCTGCGCTGGCGCTGCAGGGGGTCCTCGTGCTTGCGCATGGTGTCCGTCACCCGCACGCTGATCTCCGTCTCCGTCCGGCGCAGCATCGTCTTCACCGTCTCCTGGTTCTGCAGCTGCGGGGGGCGAGGAGGAGGAAGGAGGGGGGGCTTCAGGCTGGGCAAGATCCCCCCTCAATGGGGACCAGCGTGGGGACAGCTCTGAGCTCCAACACCCAGCCCCATGCGAGGTGACCAGGAATACGGGACTTTTCCTGATCCAGGGTTGGAGCCACCCCAGTAAGAGATGGGATGGGGTTTTCCCAGTAAGAGATGGGATGGGATGGGGTTGTCCCAGTAAGAGATGGGATGGGATGGGATGGGGTTTTCCCAGTAAGAGATGGGATGGGATGGGATTTTTCCAGGAAGAGATGGGATGGGATGGGATGGGATGGGATGGGATGGGATGGGATGGGATACAATGGATTTGCTTTATAAGCAGGGGGCAAGTTCCTCATCTGTCTAGGAATGACCAGTAGAAATAGCTGATAAAGAACATCAACGTTTCAAAACGGGGAGGAAATCCCAAAAAAAAGCACAGTCATCAATGGAACTCTGCCCGTGGTGGCAGCGCAGGCCCAGAGAGGTGTGCGGAGGAAATGCTGAGGAAGGAAGAGCTGCAGGACACTGGGGGTGGGCAGGGCAGGGGGAGAGCACCTGGCATGTGGGAGAGC